ATTTTTATAAGAAAATAAATAATTAAAATTAAGAAATAATCTTAAGGTTAGATAGAAAAAAAATTTATTTATTTTAAAATATGAAAAAATGATTATTATTTTTAGATAAATTCAAAATAAAATTTCATAAATACAGAGTACATTTAATGGTTTTTTGTTAGAAAGTTATTTGTAACTGTGATTTAAACAAAATTTCTTAATGTCTTTTAAGAGATGTCTTAATAGTTAATGACTTGAATTTTAATGTTAAAAATTATAAAATTAAATTTTAAATTTAAATTTTATAAATAAAAAAAAGTGTTGGGAAAGTTTTTTTTTAAATTTAATGTGGCTTGTTTTTAAATTAATTAATGTTTAATATAAATTATTTACAAAAAAATATTTTTATTACACTTTAAGATATATTCGCACGTAAATTAAACAAATATATATTTTTTCAAATATACAAAAATAAAATAAAATAAAATAAAGCTGGTGCAGAGTCAGAGACGCTTGCTTTAGGACCACAATGATGATGGCATGAATAAGCCATCAGGATTCAAGACCTCGTGCAGTTTGTGCAATTATGGCAGCCAACAGTTTTAGTCCATACTTAAATGCCACTCATTATGACGAATCCCTCCTTTTGAACCCAAATTATGAGCAATAATTTTAGTTTCCTAACTCCCAAGTCGTTCCCCTATCCTTTTTAAGACTCCAAAAGAATTAATAACCATGGAAGTGGTCAAGACCAATCAATAAGTTGTTTGGGGACATCAATTTTTGCTCGAATAATAATAAATAAAATTAAAATGTGGATTAAAATTTAAAATAAATAATATAATATAAATCATATTATTTAGAAGATTAAGAGGTAGATAATATATTATTTAATAATCGAATCTTTTTATTTTTTTTAATTCGTGATATTATATATATTAATTAATTTAATAACATGATATAAATCATATAATTGATTTTAAATTTTCATCCACTATCATTACTCTTTTTGTTTTTTATCTGTAAATAGTTTGCTAACAAAAAAATATTAAAATATAAATTAATTTTAATATATTAAATAATATATATTAATAAATACCAATTATTTTATTACTTACCATTATTAATTATTTTTAATAACAAGGAAAGCTTTTTGGTTGGGAAATTTTCAAACAAACTGGGTAAGGTATTCTTCCACTGTGGTGTATTCCACATCTGGATATAGCACAGAGGCCTCCACCCCAAACGATGGCT